CAGCAGGAACACAAGATCCTCTATCATCATGGTTAGTCCAGAGTCTCCTTATAGCTCCCTCTTCCCACTTACTAATAACTTATTTGCAAGTTTTCTCTCAGTATTATATCCTTCTGTGACTCCACTTCATACAAGAATAAATGGCATGAGAAAGTCTGACAAGTCTCTATTCCACAGTGGATGTGCTATGTGAAGGTGAAAACAGTTGTCTTTCTATCACAACTCCATTTCTTACAAACCTGTTTACTTTCATGAAGCCTGAAACTTAAAACTTTCTGTATTTTCAAACTTACTCAAGGCTCAGTGTTTGTATTGTTTGCAGACAATACAATATTGTGTTTTGTTGAAAAAACTCCATTTGAATCTTATAAACAAGTAATTTGAGGAGATGAGACAGCTCCCAATTGCCATCAACCTGTACATACAAAGCTTTCAAAGTGGGAAGCTTGTCCTTTGGTCAGATCAGAAAGCATACAATCAATTTTTATTTAAACCTTTACACTTTGGTGTAACTCCAGCGTGCCAAGACAGAGCCTGATAAATTAATTCACCCCATCTCTGGGTTCTTTGTGAGCTTTCTTTTTATTTTCTTCTCTCCACTGTTTGGGATGAATGAAGCAGGAGAGACAGAAACAGAGAAAAAAATCCAATAGCATTAACTAATCAGATGTTGAGGTAACTGAAAGAGCACTGGATCAGGGCACTGTCCATTATGTGGATATGATGGGATACAGGATTGTCATGTGGGAAGATTCACGTGTTTTTAAATTCATGTATTTATCAGAATATACCACTGTGTACATGATTCTCCACTTAATATCAGGTGAGTACAAAACCAGCAAGTAGAGTGGACACGTGCTTCCAGCTGTTCTTGCTTCCTGGTGTAATTAAGATGAAATTTAGCAATACAGCACCTTAAATACGCAAAGAAATTACTGGCATTTGAGGTTTGTACTGAAAATGGGTCAGCATGCCACATTTCCAATTTTAAGGGTACAGTTTTGCTCCACAGCTAATATGGGATGAAAGAAATCAGTACATCAAACTGCCAATTCTCTAAATTATGTTTTCAGTACTGTAATTTCTTTCTTCTTTGAGAAAACTTATAACTATTCTTAGCATGTACTTGACAATTTTTATACAAGGGAAGTAAGATCCTCTGCTCACTAAGACTGTATTCTATATGTCAAGTCTGCAAGTTGCCAAAACATCCCATTGGTTTCTATTGTGTTAAGATGCCTTATCTCAAAAACATGATTTGGTTATCTTTTATTACTGACATTCCCTACAAATAACTTTCAGAAATCTGCCTGATGTCTGCAGCAGTATAAATACCTGCAACATATTCCGCTTATATTGCTCAAAATGTCAAAAACCTTGCTGGATGTTGTGTTACCTGAGTGAAGTGCAGGTTTGAAGACTTTTCTGTAATCACGTATTCGCTATTCTGTAGTCAGACATAAATATCTATTCCTTATGCTAACACTATATATGAAGGTGTAACATTCTTTCTTAACTTGAACTAAGCCTTAACATTTTGATGTTAAGATAGCCTTAAGATTTTGCCTTAATGAAATACATTTGGAGTCACGATTTTTGGCCTGTATTCCTACACAGACATGCAGAAATGCTGTGATGCTACCTACAGGGAGCTGAAAGGGATAGTTCAGGTTTGCAATAGCCCAAAATCAAATAGTAGCAACATAATCTTCAATTTTTTGAGGTGGATCACCTATAGTCTACTGTATGTATATTTAATTCAGCTGACTTAAAAAAATCCATCCCACTGCAACCAGCACCTTTTGTATTGCTGTATCTGTGAATTTGTGTTCTCTGTTCTTAAAAAACCAAAACTTAAGAGGTAAGCGCAAGCACCATACAAAAAAGCCTTATGTATTTACCACAAGAGGGAGCCTCCTTGCCTCGAAAAGCAAAGCTGGCTTTTTTGCTACTTCATTTCTGCAATGTATTTTTTTTGCGGGCTGCTTTATCCAAGATTATTAGGGACATGTATCTTTGTGTATGTGGGACTGTAAAATACAGCACATTAAACACTTAGAGAAATGTAGAGAAGGATTAACAACTGATAATTTGTTTCACTTGTGAAACAGCTTAATGTCTATGTGCAAAAAAGTCCTTTTTCCCTGGAGATTCTGCATATCAGCCTGTTCTAAATGTGCAAAAAAATGGAAACACTGTGCAGAAAACTGCGAGCTTTATAACAATGACTGATGGAAGAATCTGCCTCCTTCCCTTTCTGCTGGCTAGATACCAGCTGATGCCCCAGAGCATATGGTAAACATATCTTGTCACAGCAATAAATGTGAAAGCTAGATTACACAATTGAAAAGAATGGGGAATTATCTTAAAAGGAGTCTACAAATGATGGGTGGCTCTACATAGTTTGTAGATTTACTTACAAGAAGTTATCTTACTCTCAGATGGAGACAAATAAATGCTTCTCCAAAGTTTTGTTTAGTTTTTGAGGAAGCTTTTGCACAAAGTCCTCTTACTGAGAGAACTTCCTGGGAACAGGTAGAACAACCATCTAGCATAAACAGGAGAAATTCATAGCAAACCATAGAAGTCACAGCTGTGACTTGCAACAAAAAAGTAAAAATCTTCCTCAGGAGGCAATTTTGAGACCTGAGAGTACAGACTTACCAGTTAAATAGCGATGACTTTGCGTTTCTAGACCACTGAAGCCAGTTTTACAGAAAGAAAACCTTACTGACCAAGATCTGGGCACGAGAATCAAAAGTAATAAATACACAGACTATAAAATATATGTGTGCTTATGCAATACCTCAGGGATATCCATCATTCTCCTTAGTTTCTGATCTCTCCAGTTCCAATCCAGGATCATATATTTGGTGGAGTTCAAGCACAGGCCATCTAAAAAGGCAACATAAATTTTATTACCAAGATAATATGACATATGCTTATCAAAATGATTTTTGGCTTTTACATCTTTTGCTGTCTGGTCCCAAGGAAACTAATCTTTGAACGCTTAAGTACTACATTTGCCGGCTGGAAAACCAAAGCAGTGACACTTCAAACCCCCTTAACCACATAATCCCATGCCTTTTTCGAAGATAAACACAAAAGCAGAACAACTACTGTTGCCAGGCTTGTCGAGAGCTAACATCCTGCCAGAAAATAATTCCTCAAGCTTCCTCTTGATGAAACCACAGGAGTTGAATTTCCACAGATGATGAAGAGCTGTTAAGTTACAAGGACCCTAGCTTGAAAACTGTTAATGGGAACTGACAGTATTTAGCAATTTACAGGATTGGGTGCTATGTGAATGTGAGTCAGTGGTGCTGCTGAAGAATTCCTTTATCCTTCAAATAAATGATGGTGAAAGAAGAAAAAGGTCTTTTCTGAACTCACCCTCCAGCTGTTTGCCTATTTCTCCCTAGTCTTCTACACATTGCCTACAATTTTTCATAGCAGTTTTGACTTGTGTCCATTGTCCAGTGACCTGGCACTGCAACACTCAAGTGTCAAAAAAGGACTAGACCTTAGGATAATATGATACACCTTGCGTCCCTGCTATAGGCTGCGTCTATCCTCTATCTAACACGGCTGATGTGCCGAGCAGTAACTATCTAATGTTGGTGGAGGGCACAGGAAGCCACAAAATTACGCTACTCCTGTACCCTTTTGGAAGGAGCAGTACAGTCCCAATCCACAGCGAGTCCCTGATCAAGGAACCACAATCAAAGCAAGGCAGTCTTTAGAAAGAGGAATGGAAAGAATCACCTTATCATCTTGTCATTTTGTTGTTTGTTTTTCTTTATGTACATAATGCCTATTGAGTAAGTAGAAGTACTCAAAATTTGGGAAGAGAAAAGGAGATTTATACAGAATAACTAATTTTGTTACAGCAAATCAGAAATAAAATCAAATCAGCAAGCACATCTTTCGTCCACCCCTCACAAAAGTTTACGCTGAACTCAAAGTGACATATGATACAGTGACTTCTGCCATTATTTCCTTTTGATTTACTTGCAGTGTTTGGTTTCCTGGAGCTTTAATCCTTACATCATGGTTTTGCAATCACTTTCAAGTCAGCATAAATCAGTATTCCTGCCAAAAGAGGAAGTACCCCACCTCTGCATGCTCATTACCTGATTTTGTGTGCACACTGGTTTTGTTTTAACTGGTATTGGTTCTGATTGGGATCAGTTCACTGACCTGCCACACAGACTCTTTGGCTAGCACAAGAAACAGGAAGGGGGAATAAGTGGGCACTGACTGACGGGCGGGGAGTACTCCTCTGCCTTTCTCTGGTAATACTGATTTATGCCAGCTTAAAGTGATAAAAGAAATCAACTACTAGAATCTTGACCTCATTTTGACTGACACAGTAGAAGTGGAGAAACAAAACTGTGCAGCTTAGTACCCAAATACACAGACTCACATCAACTTAAAAGCTTCAAAAACAATTGAAGTCTCACTTCTCATGAGACCATATGGTTAGATACTTACGGAGAAAACCCTCCTTGTTCTCCTACCTTGCTCCACTAGCGCTTTTACTCTCCCAGGAGTTCCAACCCCAATGTGGAACACGCCCTTCTCCAACATACTGATCTGTTCTTTTATCTAATTTGAAGACAGAAAGATAAACCACAGTAAAACCATGATTGTTTTAGAATTTCTTCTCAAAGAGCTGGAAATCAATTCAAGATCACCTAATACCTCTTTCTAGAATACCATAAAATAACAAATGCTATGCACCTTTCAAACGGTCAAACTGATATATCTGGGAGAAAATTTAAGAAATATGAGAGACAGCTGGGCACCACACTTCTCTAGAGATTTAGTAAATTTTCAACTTCAACTTCGAAAATCTGCTATCGCACCAACTATTTCTGGAGGTGAGAACAGTATGCTTCCTTCAGCATTTAAAAACATTTTCTGGAAATATCTGGAGAACAGACAAAGTTGAATTAGCTCTAAACTCCTTCAAGGTGAATACACTGGAAAAGGGTGAAATAAAGCAAGTGACATTTGTGTGTTTGACAGTATATCAAAGGCCAAATGTCTGCTCATTACTTCCAATATCCCCACAATGTGTGCTCTCCAGCAGACAGGAATATTGGGTACTCAGGCATCCAACTGGCAGAATGCATAGGAGGGTGCTGGTACAGCTTGCTTCTTACAAACCTACATGTGTGACCCTTCTATTTAAACAGGCAAAAGCCATTTCAATAAGCACCTTACAGGAGTGTGGAACACCTTTAAAACACAGCACATGCATAAGAATCTACATTCTGCAAAGGATTGCATCCGAGCTATTGGAGATGGTGTTTGGCTAGATTCCTCAAGCTGCAACAACGAGTTACGGAAGGAAGCATTACCTAAAGGAAGGAACATTATATAAACACTATATGAAAGGCACTATTGCTAAATGCTTTAAAAAGAAAACGATGTAACACTGGTTAGCTATTTAGTTGTTCTATCAAAATTCCCTTGCAGCTTTCTTACCTTTATGTGCTTTGCAAACAACTTGAGAACTCTGCAGTCTCCTTTAAATGCTGTCATTGACCTAGCAATAAAAAAATTGAGAAAGGAAATGCAAGCATCAAGGCTGGGATTAAGACCACACAGGAGCAAAGCAAAAATAACTGGCATTTCTCAATATGCTCAAGACACACGGTCCCCCAGTGACCCCTGCTTGTACTTTGAACACTATGTACATTCTTGTTTGCTACTTGATCAACAGTGATCAACAACTGGACAAACACAATAGCAGATATCAGCAGGGGGCAACATTGTTTAGATAGCTTTTCAGATAATACTTAATAGTCACAGCCTGTGCTTTCACAGCCAACTTAGGTCAATACTGACTAACCACCAAATTAGAATTCAAAAATCTCTCACTGAGATACAGGCATGAATGAACATGCATGTGCATGCACAAAAGGAAAGATCTGTGTATGGACCAACCCACATTTTACAGAGTCTTCTGGCAGTGTGGCCGCTGGGAAAACTAGAGCTGCCACAGTCTTTACTGCAGACGTTACCCGAATTCAAGTTAACCAAAACTCTTTTGTAGGAAAACCTGTCTTGTTTTTCTGACACTCCATTTTGGCACACAGTAATAACTCTATGTTCTGTATTAATCAAGCAGGAGACAACATATTCAGTATTTACTGAAGGTCATTTAAGACAGGCTTTCTCTGCATGTATTTTGTAGTGTACCAAATATATAAATTTCTCTTGTGCAAAACTGAAGGTTTATATACAAGTGTACATATAAACCACCTAAGTCTCAAATGGTAGTATCTGCATACAGAGGCTAAGCACTACAGGCACACCTGCCATGCCTGTGCTTCTATCTGTGGCATGCCATCAAACTTCCCAACTCTCCATCTCATGTTGTACTGACAAGACGATCACAGGAAACGGGGTCAAGGCACAGAAGACAACCATGAAATCTGTGAGGTATACATTAATTCATCAAATTCATCAAGACTTCTGGAATGAGATGGAGGAGGATAAAGAAGGGAGAAAGGAGGACAGGGAACACTGTAAATTGTCATCTCTGTACTGTAGTTTTGCCAGCCTGAGCCAGCTGAGAACACAGACACAGACCTGGAGGCACTTAGGCCAGACGCACACGTTGGCATCTGAGGCCCTGGGATGCCATTGTCCTCATTGCCTTTGGTGCAAAGTCACGATTTCTAGTGGTGGATCATGATGCTTTATGGGTTTACTCTATTCCCAAGCATAACATGTTGCACGTTTCCCCAAAATTGGTTACAATTTATTTTTTGGTTTTTAACAAAAATAGCACTTCCATACAACTGAAGTACTAAGTGTTACTTCAGTCTAAAACCAAACACCACACTCCCGCAGTTTGAAGAAGCAAGGGATATTGCATCAGTTTGAGTCAGTGAATTTGCTGGCTAGCAGAGGACAGTGTCCCAGTTTTGCCTTTGTGTCTGTGGTTCCAAGACAAAACCTCTGACTGACTGCCAACCTCAACATAACATTTGCTATCGACATACTTGATGAGTTCCAAGGAACGAAGGGCAGAACTGCAGATAACAAGCATCACGACTGACTTCTCCTCCTTGTGGTTTTTACGGAGTTTTGCCCACTTAGGACAGACTGCAATGAAAAAGCCCATGTACAGACACAGAGAAAGTACTACATGCCACAATTTTAAATTACAAGAGAACATGATGAATAGTAGCCAGCAGCAAGAACACACAGGCTGACTCCTATGAGGTCTGGATCTCTGGCAGCACTTTTACATTTAGTCATGGCTGAGAAATTGGAAAATAAAATGCCCCAAACAAATAGAATACAGAAATATGACATAAGTGTCATTAGATAAGCATTAAAAATCAACAGTTTGTAAGGTGACAAGCCCATTGTCTTCATTTATTTGCTACATATAGCAATTTGTATCAGTTTAAACCAATTGAAAAGAAACTTTTACCAGAGCAGAAGTTCTATATAAATATATATAGAGAATAAAAATTCTCTTGGTTCATGTCAGCAGACAGCTGCAGGTTTTTTTACTGTAAGATAATGCACACAGCTACTTATGAAGCCACAATAAATTACTGACAAATAATCCCAAGCAGTTAAAAGAAACCCTAGAACATTTTGATACAAAAAAAGTGATAGCGTAAAAAAGAGCCAGAAAAATAAGACCTGTCATGAAAAAAAGAAAAAGAAAAAAACCTGTTAAGCTATTAATATTTCATAACTAAAAATATTTGGAGGTGCAGATAAAAATTGCAATAATATTGCATTAACAATGTTTTTCATACAACTTTCATCTCATCCAATGTTTTAACTCACTTTCCTTCAGGTATGAAGAAAAACTGTGTGTGAGATCATTGGCTGGCAAAAAACAGGAATCTGAAAAAAGGAAAAAGTATGTTTGTTGATGTATTTTTAATAGAAAAAGGAGCATATATGTTTGCAGCATAACCACTAGTTATATTGATGAAATCATAACTGTGTTAAAATCCATGATCAACAAATCACCATTTGTGAAACCAAGATTAATGTACACCTCATGTATAAGAGGTTTATATTGGATAAATCAACAAAGGTAACAACTCTCAACTCAATTGCAATTCCTTTCTTTTCTCCCACCATGAAACCTTGAATACAGGGCTGCACAGGTGTGATCAGATACTTTAAAAAAAGTTTTCATATTTTTTTGCCACAATCAATCAAAGTCTTAGCCAAAAGCCTTAAAGTCAACCTGGTAGACTGTTCCTCCAATCTACCTATGATGGAATACATTTGTAGATCACCCAAACAACTCATACTCTGTAAATGCAAAAACCTACCAATAACCTACCTGTTAGTAAGCTTGTACCTTTTTCTGACCTTTCATATTGTGGTAATCTATCTAACTGTATTGACCCTAATGATAGCAGCTGCACTGCATTTTAATGCCTTCCTCTTACTTCGTTTCCCGACTGCCTTTTACCTGGTCACTATGTTAACTAGTAAGTCTTAAGAGCACTCTGTGGCAGACATGCCATTCGACTTTAATCTTCCTACAGAGGCAATGAAGAAAGACAAAGTCCTAACAAGTTCTCTGGAAGGTCCTTTCTCCACTGTCTATATAGAAAGTCTAAGTTCTTAAAAAGGTGATTAAAATTTGATGGTCTGAAAACTTGCTGTCATTGTTAAGGGTCCTTTGCCTGATGGAACAACACACTCCCCTAGAGCATTAACAACTCTGCCTTCGGGGACCCACATATTTATTGTCATTCTGCATGAGGCACCTCAGGTTGCCCGTCTATGGAATCAGATGTTTGCTGATATATATTAATTAAATTAAGGAGGTTTCCTTACAGATGTTATTCATGTTCATATGGATGGAGCATTGTCTTAACGCTGGCAGCGTCAATCCATGATTTCCATTGGAACAGACTTGGTTTGTAGCTGATGCCTGGCTGAAGTCCTGCCTGTGTAGTTTCTTGAGCTTAGCCACCCTCCATTACTATACCTTCCATTTAATGGGTGTTGTCTTGCTAAAAACTTTTATTTTGCACTGATCTCTTTTATTAAATCCAGCGATTGACATTTACTGGGACTTGAGCTCCAAAGGGAATGAATGTGTACAACTGAAGGATCAGCAGCTGATTTACCTTTAAAATCATGTTTAAAAGATGCACTTGACACTAGTGGGGAAGGGCAGGGGCTGCTCTTCCATAAGCATTTGGTGCTAACAGGAGAGCTCCTCACACCCACCACAGTCCTTTCCTCCCAGTGGCAAAATATCTTTGCTGTTGTTTTGCCCTTCTGAATACATTACGTCTCATTAATGACTGAACAATTCAAAAGGTGTTTTCTAAAGGACATGAACTTCAGCCACTGACTTTTCACCAACAGTCCAGCAACACTGGAGTACTAACAACAATTTAAAATGAAAGTTTCAGAAAGGGGGGAAGAAACACATAGCTCCAGACTGCAGCAAGAGACCATGGTGACTACAAACCTGACCTTCTGCACTGTGTCAGTTAACAAGAACACACAACTCCAAGCAGTTGCTTGTTATTTGCTCAGTGCTTTGACATGAATGACTTGACAGCTGTAGAAGTTTGCAAACTTCTTGGCACTCTAAGCCTTCAAGTCCCAGCACAATAAGGAAGAAAACATATCTCCATCCAACTCAAGAGCCAATCCATATGGAAATGGGTCACTTCACTAACCCAAAGGGCTCTTATTTTAATAAGAAAAAACCCAAAGCAATTTATTATTTGCTAAAACCCCTAAAAGTCTAAAAATACTTAACACAAGTTTTTCAAAGCAATCTATGTGGGACATCTCCAGGTTTTCTTGATTCATCAAGAAAGCTGAACCCACCCCATAGAAATAAAGAAGGGTCAACCTAGAATCATGGATGTTAAGGAGAAGCACATTTATCTAGGAGGACAGGCTTAAACATCAAAAGAGAGAAACCACTGCTGGGATAGAAGGCTCCTGTATTAACCACAAGTCACTAAGAGTTCAAGATATATCAAAGGTGTATGCAGGTTAGTTACCATGCCATTTGATCTTCCTGAGCACTACCAACAAATAATGGACAGTGCCTATAAAATGACAATGCTGCTTTATCTGCAGAGTAAGATTCATAAAATAATTTGGGTTGGAAGGGACCTTTAAAATCCATCTAGTCCAACCCCCCTGCAATGACCAGGGACATCTTCAACTAGACCAGGTTGCTCAGAGCCCCATCCAACCTGACTTGGGAAAGTTTCCAGGGATGGGGAATCTACCACCTCTCTGGGCAACCTGTGCCAGTGTTTCACCACCCTCATTGTGAAACACTTCTTCCTTACAGCTAGTCTAAATCCGCCCTCTTTTAGTTTAAAACCATTACCCCTTATCCTAATGCTACAGGCCCTGCTAAAAAGTCTGTCCCCACCTTTCCTATAAGCCCCCTTTAAGTACTGAAAGGCTGCAGTAAGATCTCCCTGGAGTCTTCTCTTCTCCAGGCTGAACAACCCCAACTCTCTCAGCATGTCCTCACAGGAGAGCTGTTCCAGCCCTCTGATCAGTTTTGTGGCCCTCCTCTGGACCCACTCCAACAGGTCCATGTCCTTCCTGTGCCAAGGGCTCCAGAGCTGGACGCAGGACTCCTGGTGGGGTCTCACCAGAGCGGAGTAGAGGGGCGGAATCCCCTCCCTTGACCTGCTGGCCACGCTGCTTTGGATGCAGCCCAGGATACAGTTGGCCTTCTGGGCTGCGAGCACACATTGCCGGCTCATGTCCAGCTTTTCATCCACCAGTACCCCCAAGTCCCTGAGGGGTAAGAAGGGTAAGAGGCAGATGAATGTTGCCTTCATCTCTAATGCAGCCTCCAACTGACAGATGCTAACCTTGCTCTGTTCTGCTTTGCCTTTTCTATCACTGGCTTTTAACTGAAGACTGAACACACGAAACCAAGAGGGTCCTCATCTTGGTTAAAACTGGGTCACTTCTCACTTGGACCAAGACTACCATCTCATTTTATGCCACTCTCTGAAAAAACATTGTGTTAAACAACTCATAACCATGTCAGAATGATGTCTCATTATTTCTTTGCCTGCTCCTGTCAGCCCTCCTATTATGCATCTGGATCGACCCAGATAATCCCAGAAACAGAATACATTTTCACTCTCTCAGTCAGCATCTTGGAAGCTATTATTAGGAATCATATAATTTCTATTAGAAAAGTGAACTCCCGAAATGAATACTTTACAATAAAAGGACACATTTAAACAATATTTCTTTTCATTTCCATACGTCCAAGAAACCTCACATTTATTCCAAAGAAATTAACATCTCTACTTGAACAGCAAATTAATATACAGGAAGAGAAAATATTTTAATAAAAAGTATAACTCAAGTCCTGTCCCAAAAATCCTATTTCTTTTGCAGAAAAAGAACTCAACAGTATCATTTAAAAAAAATTATTATCTATTAAATACAGGATAAGTTACCTGATAGCTTTAATTCCTCTATTTCAATCACTGAACGGTTTTCAGCAAAATGTTGACTAAGCAGGTTTTGTAGATCTGCAGGGACACCAGGTTTTGGAGCAGATTTTTCCAGAACATCAGAAATTTTTTTCTAAAAAACCAAGTAAAATGGGTAAGTATGGCATTTCTATAATTTCTGCTCTTTGACTAGCTAACAACACTGTAAATAAATGTTCCTCTGTAACTTTATAGAGTTATATTGGCTTAATTACAGCTTAATTAGAAAAAAACCTTACAATGGGACACGATTCCCTTTGTCTTTAGTGGCAATGCAGACTTCAGATGCAAGTTCACATACTTTGATGAGATGGTCTGTGAGCCAAAGACAAGAAATCCTCTGTGCTCACCTGAAATGCTGCTGTAACAAAAACATAACTGAAAGCTGGTTTTGTAAGTTTTGCTATTGTTACACTTAAATATCAGTTTGAAAATACAGGTTTTTTCATATTTTTTTAAATTTATTATTCTTAAAGATTAACAACAGGAATCAAGTGGTTATATAAGTCTTAGTTATATTTTGATTAAAATGGGGTAACTATCTATCTACTTTGGAAGGAAAGATGGTTAACTATATTCACAGAGTACCATGCAAGTGTGATGAAAATGAGTTAAAAGCTCACAAAACCAGAAGTCAAGCAGAAAGAGTTCAGCAGCTGCTTTGTTCTTCCAAAATGTATAATTTTGTAAACCAAACTCGTAAGTTTTAAAGCCTGGACCTGAGTTCATAACAGGTCTGAACTTTCACTGAAGTGAAAGTGTTGCTGTATTTTTCCCCATAATTAAATGGATCATGGGGGTAGAATAGCCCAGGGTTCCTGTTATCTGAATGATCTGCCAGCATTTAAGAAAAGAGCAGATTTTCAAGGATAGAGGCAGCCTGGAGAGAACGGCAAGAATGTGAAGCCTCTCTTGTCCTCACTGAGAAGTGATTCATTTGTGAAAGGCCAGCTTAAGGTTTCTCCGCTGCCCAAGCTAAACCGAACTTGCTGTCATGAGGATGCATGGCAGCGTAAGCCTAGAAGTGACAAGGAGCCGGAGAGCATGGTTAGGATGGAGCTATAGGGTACGCATGTCTGAGGCAAAGTGAGATTTCAGAGAGATGAGGTGGGCCTGGAAGCATTTTTGGCTTTTTGGAAGCATTTTGGAAGCTTTGGAGGGGTGGTGGGGACCTTCAGTGCAAGTTCTGCAGTCTAAGGTCTAGGGCAGCAAAGATCAATGGAAATTTTGAGGAGAGCTATAGCAGGGATTTTAATGTAGGGGACAGATCTTCTTCCATCCTTCTTTCCCTCACTTCATCCCAGCACCCACTCCCTCCTTCTCGTTCATTTCCCACCACTCCGTCTCTCCCTCTTGCTGAATACACCCCAAATGCTCCCGTAACGGCGGCATACGGGGCAGAAGGCTGAGCAGGGGAGAGGCATACGGGGGCTGCTGAAGCCACCCCACCCCACAGCAAAGGCAAAGTAGGCAGCTGCCTCTCCCAGCCATCTGCCACTGTGGCCACTGCCTGTTTCGCCACTGCCTGTTTCACCTCTGCCAAAAGCCAGCTGTGTGCTTGCAAGACCCCAACTGAATCTTTGACAATGGGATATGTGGAGATGGAGTGCTTATGCCTTCTTCTCCGTCTATCTTTGGCCTGGTGCAAAGCCCTCTGCAGACCCTGGAAGACTTTCCAGTAGACGTCTAGCTGTTTGGCAGATCTTTGCAGAGCTTGAATCTGTATCATTCCTTCCCAAGATCCACACTCATTTGGCACTGTTGTATTTTTCTGCCATGCAACAACTGTCTTCCCAAAGAATGACAAAAGGCCATCTGTAGCACACACAGCCTTTGCGTGAGGCCCACAACCAAACCTCTTTGTTGTTCTTCCTATCAATCACAAATGCTCTTCTCCAGCCCCAGCCCCACAACCTGCATCTTAAGTGACTCACATTTGGGAACCTCTGATTTAGCAGACAGCAAGACAGAACTATGAGGCTCATTTTACTTGGTAATTCAGCATAAGGTGCTGTTCCACAGGACTACTACGTCATTCATTGGGCCACTTGGTTCCTTAAGGAAAATTATGGCACTCTAGAGAGGAAAAGCCTGATACTAACAAGAAATTCTGTAAGAGCAAGAGCAAGGACACCTGAGCAAACTCTCTTCCTTCAAGGATAGCTGCGGAGAAATGCTCCTTATGCAGGAAGTGTTATTATTTGTCTTCCAATTCATTCCAGATGTTTAAAAGTAAAGGTGTCCCCCCCCGCCCTTTCCTTATTTTTGGAGAGAGCATGTTGTTTGGAACCCATAGATCAACCTGATAAATATTTCATGATGGATTCTCTGACAGGCTATGTATGTCAACTTAGTGACCTAGCCCCACTGAAACCAAAGGTGTAACTAAGCACCTATTGTTTGCCTGAGAACGGGGTCTTTTTGTTAGGTCTGGTTCACCAATCTCTGTTGCGGGATGCTTTTGCTCTGGCAGCAGTGGAACAAGTACCGTGGTCACTTCTGCCAGAGCTGCATTTAAAGCAAAATCCCACTCTTCCTTCTTCCCATTCCCTGGATGATTAAGAGGCCTGACATAATATAAAAAGGCCATCTCTCAGCCTTCTGAGGGAGCCAACTACTTACAGTGTGTCCTGAAACACAATTAACTTTCCTGGTGCCATATAATTTCCATCTAGACTGCAGAGTGTGTTTGTTGTTGAGGGTGAGGATGGAGCATGGCCAGAGGGACAATACAGAGTATTTATTTATATACTTATGCTATGAGAAGAGCAAACGAGGACAGTTCTTGGCTCAAAAGATGTAACAGCAGCTGGAGGCAGACCACACTGCTGAAATAGGTGGAATTTCAGTTGCTGCAGAATCTGCCCCTTCTCTGATGCAGTTACATTTTCCCAGTGTGCAACACTTGCAAGTGGGGTGTAAATATGTACAACCGTTGAGTGGAGTATAGACACAGTGCCGCTGTTCAGGCTGGGAATGGGTATTTTGGGTGAAGTAAAAAAAGTAGGAATTTCTATTCTTCTCTAAAAGAGGCTGCAACATTATGACCATATTACTTCTCCTCATCACAATTCTGAATCTTGTAATAGCACATACACCCACTGCCCAGTCCCCAAACACACTCTAGGACATTCATACCTTCTTTCTCCTCTTTGCCTTTACAGTGCTCTCTTGTTTTTCTTCAGGCTGACTTAAAAAACACTCTGTAGGCTGCAAAGCACACATTAAAAAAAAAAAAAAGTAAGAAAAAAAGATCCAACATCGGATATCTGATCACCTGGGGGAAAAGAAAGTCACCAAAGGGAGGTAAGAGGGGATACAGAAAGTATAATGCTGGGTTAGGGAAAAACAAACAAAACCAAGCTTCCCCACCTGTAGAGGGATCAAATTCTTACAGTTACATATATCTGGAATAATTTTGGAATTGAGATCTGTGTTGTTTTAACCAAGAGGGGAATAAAAGAACAGAAAGTTGAAACATTCAGGTAATAGTCACAATTCCATAAAATGGTGAAAAGGAAATTTTGATACACTAAAAAAAAAAATCAAGCAGGAAACATGAACAAAACCTTCCACAAACTTTATATTTTTAAACTCTATTATTGTGTGTGATTGTTTTTCTAAACTTTGCCAATAGTGCTCTAAAATAACTGGGTCTAAGGTGAGCATCCAGACAGGGAAAGATACCACGGAATGGGTGAGAGTAATTGGAAACAATCATAGTCTGGATTTCCTTTTACATTTGTAATGCAAAATTTAGGAAAGCATGTTTCGAATTTGTTCTACCCATTCCTGC